TTTCCTCAGCTTGCTCGCTACTTGGATCCTTATGACGAATACATGCACAACCGAATATTGTCAATCCAGCCATTGTAGCCAGTTACCATACAGTTACATTGGCGACAGTGTCAACAGTACCGAACACACACTCTGGTTCCGCTTTACTGGCTACACTCCGTTACCGGTACCTTGCATTGGATTCTTATGACGAATACATGCACAACCGAACATTGTCAATCCAGCCATCGTAGCCAGCTATCGTAGAGTTCATCGATCGGTGACAGTGGCAACAGTACCGAACACACGCAGGTTCGACTTTGCTCGCTGCACTCGGTTACCTCGCATTGGATCCTTATGACGAATACACGCACAACGGAATATTGTCAATGCAGCCATTGTAGCCAGCTGCCGTATAGCTAGTGGCAACAGTACTTGATTTGCGCATACAGGAAAATGGGTACCGACACAGGAATCACCACCAAAACAGTAGGAAATAACAAGAAGGGATGAATCCAAAAGGAGGATCCACTCTCTTGTGTGTTGTCGAGTAGCTAGCCTTGCTCCTGTTCCCTTTCAATGACTCGACGACAATCCGTTCAGACTGTCGGTAGGGCTGGAGTTAACAGTCTCCTCCGTAGTGGTAGTCGTCGACTTAGCCAAATCCTCGACAACCGACTTGTACATACAGGAAAATGGGTGCCGACAGAGCAATCACCACCAAATCACTAGGAAATAACACTGGAGGGATGAATCCAGTAGTAGGATCCACTCTCCTCTGTGCGTTTTGAGTTGTCGTGTCGCCTCCTCCTCTTGTTGCCTTTTCAATGACTCGAGGACCATCTCCTCCGTTCAGGCTGTTGGTAGGGCTTGAGTTAACAGACTCCTCCGTAGCGGTAGCCTCTTCTCTTGCTTGATCGTTCGAAAAGGACTCAACAATGGTAGTTCATCGGCCGTCAGCAGTGCAGCAGAGAAAACCACAAATAGATATGAGTTTTGTTTTCTGTGCTCAACTGCAGACGACCGAGACTTACTCTTGCTTTTCAAATTGCACCAACTTGGTCGTCATGGGCCAAGAACTGACTGCCATCACATGGTCCATATGATTCAATGAGGGATGGCTTTCGCATCTACACCAGAGAAGGACGGTTTGAGTGAGGCTTGACAATATTAGAGATAATAGAGGTGCGATTGATTCGATTCGAATAATCAAATCAACTCACATGTTGACGGCCGAGCTTGGAATTCTCTCCTGAATACCATAGAAATACAATGAGGGAGAGAAGTCAGTGCTGCGCCTTCAATTAACACTCTTGATAATAGGCTTACCTCATTGCGATCCATTCGATTGATCGTTCCAGCACCATTCTTGTTGGCCAAGCTTGGATTTCTCTCCTGTTTACCATAGGAATTGAATGAGGGAGAGAAGTCAGTGCTGCACCTTCAACAATGGATTTGGCTGGACCTGTACGACTGTGCCTGGTAGTTGTGCCGGTGCAGAGGTGCGCATGCGATTGAATTGCAGTAGTTTATCCTTAACCTTAGTAACTTCAACGGTTCTTTTATCCACGAATCGATCTAAATCTTTCGAAAGGGAACTTGTTACTTAACGATACACATGACTGTTGATTCTGCAACTGAAGTGCGGGTACACTAATTTACACAGTAAACGCAAGCCAATCGATTTCAGAGTGCAACTGAGGGGGTAACCTAAACCTAAAGGAGCGTCGTCTTAGGAGACGTAATAGCTACAGTACCGGTAGCTAGTAGCAAGAGCTTCCTGGAAGCAATTCGAGAGATCGATCGACAGAAAGCTTCCATCAGTTAACCAAAGAATTCCGACAGGTGGACCTGCAACCCCGTTGCTAACGTACCGAGTACAGTAAAACACCACCTTCCTTTCTTCCTTTCGCAGCCTTGCTTCCGTGCAACATACCATGTACTCATACTCTTGAGCACGTACCCGGCACAAGTTTCTTTTCAGGACTTTCAGGGCAATAGTCGGGCCATACCGTACGATACGCGTTCTTTTCAGGACTTTCAGGGCAACTGTGGGGCCATACCGTACGATACTAGTACGCGTTATCGGTACTCGTAGTCGTTCCTCGTCCTTTTGCACCACGGTCTTCAATGCAGCTCTTGTGCACGAAATAAAGCCACCTCAAAACTTCATTTCCTATTACCAAAACTTGCCTCTTGTTGCTCCCTGTGTTAGTAATCCAGTGCAACTATCATACACCGGTAGCCATGAATAAGGACCCCAGCAAACACGACAGTGATTTCAATGAGTTCCAAGCCGTAACATCTACGCCTTCTCCATCCATGGAACTAGTAACTGATGCCAAGCCACCATCCAAAGAGGTCTCACAGGAAGCAACAAATGGCAGCCAGAACCCTGTAAAGGCTCTGGAAGAAGAGAATCAAGCCTCCGCTCAAGACCTTAAAGGTTGGAGACCAATACTGAGTGCAGCAGGGGAGCAACTGAGTCCAATTCCGCTACTATTAATGACCCAACAAGAGAAACCCAGATCAATCTCACGACCAATGGTAGGATACAGAATCGCTCATTTTGGGAGGTCATTGCAGAAAGAATAGAGCCACTAATCTTGCAGCCAGTTAGGTTACGCCGAGGAGCAAACCACCCACCGAATGATCGTCCCGGAGCCTATATGGGAAATTCACAACAGCGAACCACTCATCTAGATTTCAGTCTGGTAGGTGCTACTCCTATTCAATGCAATGAGCAGATCATCACATCTTCTTCAAGACGAGTTGTCAGCAACAATCAGTTGGCTGTGGCCAACCCAGTAATGGAGGACCCAGAGGCTGCTGCCGATTTAATGCATGCCGATCCAGTTGATTTGGAAGCTGCAGAGCAGAGAGAGCTAGAGCAGAAGAAACAGCAACGAACCTTTATCTTCATTCTGATTTTGATCGTTCTTGCTGCTGCTGCGATTGTTGGGACTGTTGCTGGAACGCGCAGGAACGATTTATCCAGTGTTGCGGATGAGACAGCTACACCTACAATCTACCTTTCTATGGAACTTTCTCTAGTTCCATCGTCTGCCCCCACAGATGTTCTGGCTACGCTTTTGGATAGTCTACCCAACCATACTTTGGCCAGCATCCTTAGCAGTAGCAGTGATACCCCTCAGTGGAAAGCATGGCATTGGCTAGCAAATCATCAAAACATAAGTTTCCTTCCTGAATGGAGGAAGATGCAGGTGTTTGCCATGGCCACATTCTTCTACTCCTTTGAGGGGGGAAACTGGTGGCAGCCTGTTCGGGACAGATAGATGGATGATACAAAGGAGGAGTGCCTTTGGTTTTCCCGTGGATTTGGGTACTTCATGGATGGAAAATTTCAGGAATTTGGACTGGGTTTCGAGCATCTCCCGTGTGACAACCAAGGAAAACTAACTTCGCTTAATTTGGGAAATCTTGAGCTAGATGGTTTCTTGCCTGCTGTGCCACCAGAGATTTTCCTTTTGACATCATTGACAGATTTAACACTGCTATTCTTTGGAGCTCAGATGACGATTGCTGACCTTTTCCCCAATGAGTTCTACAGCACGACAAACTTGGAGTCCATCAACATTGGACCAAATTTGACGGGTACTCTACCTACGCAACTTGGTTTGATGACAGGTCTGTTGAGCCTAAACCTTGTAAACAACCTTGTCACAGGCCCACTTCCCAGTGAGCTGGGGCTGTTGACCAGCATGACAAAAATGCAGCTTTTGAACCCGTATCTTTCAGGTACTATTCCCGGTGAGATTTGGTTGATGACTTCCCTGAAATTTTTGAATTTGGGCTATGTGTCTGAAATGCATGAACAGCGGAGCCTTCTAAGTGGCCAGTTCCCAAGTGAGGTTGGGTTATTAACAGAGCTAACTGGCCTTGTGATGTTCAATACCATGATGACAGGTTCCCTCCCCAGCGAAATTGGAATGGCTACAAACATGGATTGGCTCTCTTTGACAAATGTTTCGCTGACTGGTTCGCTGCCAAGCGAGATTGGTCTGTTGTCCGCGATGCGTGGTATCAACCTTCCAAGGAACAAGCTATCAGGGTCATTCCCAAAGGAACTGCAGGAACTGGCGGCTCTCCAGTTGATTTACCTTGATGACACACGTTCTCTGGCAGTCTTCCCACCAGTTTGCAGTTGTTGGCAAGCCTCGAATGGCTGCAACTGGGAGGCAATCGATTTTCTGGCCACATTCCTTCAGAATATGGTGGGATGACGGCCCTTAGAACCCCGGATCTAACCAATTTGCCCCTTCTGACAGGAACGGTTCCACCTGAGTTGAGTGCCTTGTCCGAACTGGCCTATTTGGACCTGAGGGGCAGTGATGGCTATCCGGTACATTGGCAGATGATTTCTGTTACATGCAGAATTCCTCATGTGTCCGGGGGTGGGGGTCTTGCATTCTCCGCTTTGAATTCACCGACCAGCTGTGCGGTTGTGATTGTCCATGCTCGAATCAAACAGGATACCATTAGAACAAGATTATCATTATTACAAGTACTGGTACTGGTAGCTACAGTATGCAACTGGTAGCTAGCTAGTTTCAACTCTTTCAAGAAAAGCTAGCTACAAGCAACCATTTGCCTTCCCCGGAGCATCCGTCGTAAAAGGGAATGCCGAAGGTGATAGTCCAGTGCCCAGAGTAGTTCTACTTGCTTTCGCGCAAGCAACATCCTTTTCCTACATAGTTGCGCCCGGACCGGAGCAACCTGTCGTCTTGGAGGTTTGTGCAGGTGTGTAGGTGTGTGTATGTATGTTACACGAAGACGTTACTATGGGGGAGAGTGGACGAATGTTGTGTGTGAGATGTGTGAGGTGATGTGTGAGGTGTGTGTAGGATTGTCGAGGAATGGTTGAGCTGTGGATGTTTGAGATCGGGTTACAAAGTGGTTGGGGTGGACTATGTTTGATTCAGCCTCTTCTTCGCCAGCCAAAGCCTGCCCTCGATGGCTTCCGTAGATAACCTCCTCCCTACTCTAAAACCCCTTGACTGATGTGGCAATGGGATCGAGAAGTCTCGGCAGCATTGCTGGAGGCTCTAGCCTGGCAACCAAACTCGAGTAGACTGAAAAGGCCGGGAGCTGATTGTAGAAGCAGGAACACCAGAACCATGAAGGCACATCGTAGCTGCTCCATTGCATGTTGGCATTGCAAGACGTGTCATGAAGAAATTGTAGAGTACATCCATACAGATACTTGTGCCGCCACTAGTCTCAACTCGAAGAAGGGCAAGGTTTACAACGAGAACCAATCCGACAACCAAAAAGACGAGCGGTACGGGTACGTTATGATGAAAGGACCAGAATATACAGAGAAGCCGCAAATCATCTCCTCGGGACGAAATGTCGACCTGACACTCTATCTCCACCATGCAAAATGGTGCTTTGAGCATTTCTTACGATGCCCAAACTGGAGAACCTGTAGTCTGGACTGACTCGCTGGGACGGGTACATCAAGTTGATCAAAGTAGAGAAGATCCTGGACTATGGTACGTAGTTACTTTTCGCCGGCGGAAAGAGTCGAAACCTGCCACGGAGAAGCAGCGCTTTGGGTGACAAAAGAAGCACAGCTATGATACCTGGTAATCAGATTTTTTAAAAGAATGGTAATGAGAATAGCTTCTATTATAGCAACCCAGAATGACGTAGTAGAAACGTCCACTGACGAAGGGTGCCATGGTTTCCTCCAAACCATCGTGGACGGTGCCTCTTTTGAGCTGGCTACAAGGCACAAAAGCCTGGTTGACCGCATCTCCTGCGGTTACTATGCTAAAATCGTATGATCCTCATGGGTTATCTTGATTCTCGCCCTAGAGGCAGCAGTAGCAGATGGCAAACGCGATGCAAACAGATACAATGGCTGTTGCCTTTGATTGACAAATGCAAACCCGTCAAAAAAGAAGTACCGCTATCCTACAGTTTGCTTCTAAAGTTCTTGATACTGATGATAGAGGAGCTATCCATTCTCTGGTCGGAATGTCGGAATGTTTGATGCATTCGATCTCGCGTCCAATCAATCCAGTGGGACGTACGGGGAGTGTTCCAAATCCAGGATTAGACAATGATTTAGGCCGCAAATCAGATCTTGTCGTGGCATGCTCGCGTGAATCCATCAAAATTTGGCTCACACCCTGCACGATCTCATGATTGCAGCGCTACGACTGCATAAAGCAAAGTTCACAAGAAATGCAACTGAAGCTGCAATTTTCTGGCCTAAATTGGCAAACATGAAGCAACAGAAAGCAATTGGCAAGAGATTGCCACATTGGCACCATTCACCCTTGCATCCCAAGCTTACGAAATTTCTAAGCTAACACGCAAGTGCAAAAAGAGGGCTCCACGCATACCCCACGAGGCGAGGGCTCCTGGACGCTCGGCAGTAGCTCTTCACTCCTTCGCGCCAGGCTGCGATCCCAGGTTATGAGGCTCACGGACACGTCAGAGCGACGCAAATGACCCCACGTTGCACCGTAGCGTGCGCATTTTAAAAGTTGGTCGACGTCAGCAGCTCGGAGCAGTCCCAGCACTGGTGGCAAGAAAACGAAAGTCCACGACTGTCCTCCATCCACGCATCTGCCGACAACGTTGCCTTTGCGTTTGCATTGTGCTTTTGCATGGGGAAGGCTCGCTAGTCCAGTTTCTCACAACTTTGTTCTGCAACAGACCACAACACGTCAGTTTCAATTCCTTTCAAATATTCCAATAAAACCATCACCATGAACGCTTTTGCCCGCTCCATTGCCCAAACCGCCCCTCGGTAGGTCTTCGTTGTTTGTTTCATCTGCTGAAATTTTCAAAATTTTTCCCAATGACATGGCTTGTCGAAACAATGACGAGTTGATTATCTCCCATCTCATCCCTGTCTTTTTTCATTTTAAATTTATTATAGTGTTGCTGGACGTCGTTTCAACTCCACTCTGCCCGAAAGCTTCAACTCCAAGCAGAAGACCATGAAGCAAATCTGGTTGAGCGATCCCACCACATACCCTATCATGGCCGTTGTTGCTTTCGCCACCGGTATTTGCTTCACATTTGCCACCACCAAGCTCATGTTCAGCCCCGATGTCCGAATCACCCCTGCCCGCAAGAACTCTCCCGTCCGAATCTAAATAATGTTCTCTCTTGGCTCCAGGAGTTGAGTCAAATTTGAAAAGAGCAACTGGCAAACAGTTAGTTAGTTACACAACAACAATGACACAATGAGCGTGTCGCGGCGGATGGTAGGAGTGGTACAACACTGTGGAGTGCCGTATGGAGGAAACAAACAAACAAACAGCCTCGAGTGGATGCTTGATGCGTATTTTGAAGCAAGGACCATGTAGCTGGGGAACAACATTAATCTTTATAATGTGAATACAACATGAAACTCAATCTGCAGTAGATCTTATTCTCTTGGCGTAGGAGTTCATCGATCGGACTGCTTGCATCGCTCTCGGACACATAGGAACTTTCGAAGAAGGATGACAATCCACAAAGCACGATAGCTGCCTGAATAGGAGCCACATGGAACAACGTCTCTGGTGCTTGGAGGGGGCGGGGCAACGTTCCACAGCTCTGGAAACAAACAGACCCCCGATGCGACCCGGGCCAAGAGCAGCCACCTCTAGCAACTGGGTTGGGTGCCATTGGGTGCCTTTCCGCTCCCTAGTAGCCAGCAAGGGGCCCGAGCTTCTCTGATCTGTGATTCTGTTGCATCCACGTTTTTTTGTTTCACATGGCTCTCCACACCTCTTGGCATTTGCACACCTACCGGTACAGACAGGCTCCTTCAAGTTCTGCTTCTGTTGGGAGCAGTGTGTTGCACTTCTCGTTGACATCAGATTCTGTCTAGAGCTACCGGTAGCTAGCTAGACAATAGCTATGACCTCCCAGCTTGACACTCTTGACATCGTGCGTTTCCAGCCGGGCTGGCCTTTCAAACATGCTACTATGCCTTCGCGTCACGGGAAGCTTGTTCCCAAACTCTGCTACCTTTCGGACCCAAAGCCCTGGTTGCTGGCTCGGATCAGACAGTACGTTCTCAGCCCATATTGCTTCTTCCTGCTTGTGAAATGGTGCTGGCTGCCTGCTGCACCGTACGGTACCGGTACTGCAGCTTAATTCAGCCTCCTTGCTGAGCGATGCTTGGGCTACTCTGCGTCTGTGTCGCAGCTGCTTACTGAGGGTCGGCTGATGTCTGCAGCTGCTCTTTTGCAAATGAGTAATGATGCAAGCCAGAGTTGGAAGTTAGAAAAAAATGCATTCACTGTTGTTTTAACCTTATTGTGCAGCAGCTACATGTATAGCTTTTCTTGAAAGAAAAATGAAACTAGCTAGCTAGCCACACATAGCATACTGTACCTACCGGTAATTGTAATAATGATACTCTTCTTCTAATGGTAGACTGTCTGATTCGAGCATGGACAATCACAACCACACAGCTGGTCTGTGCATTCAAAGTTTAGAACGCAAGACCCCCACCCCCGGACACATGAGGAATTCTGCATGTAACATAAATCAATTGCCAGGGTACCCAATAGGCCATCATTGCCACTCAGGTCCAAATGGGCCAGATCAGACAAGGAACTCAGCTCGGATGGAATTGTTCCTGTCAACAGGGGCAAGTTGGTTAGATTCAGGATTTGAAGGGCCGTCATCGAACCATATTCTGAAGGGATTTGGCCAGAGAATCGGTTGCCTCCCAGTTGCAGTATTTCGAGGGTTGCTCTTGATTGCAAACTGGTAGGAAGACTGCCAGAAAAGTTGTTGTCATCAAGGAAAATCCACCGGAGAGCAGTCAATTCCTGCAGTTCCTTTGGGAACGGCCCTGATAGCTTGTTTCTGGGAAGTCTGATACCACGCATCACGGACAACAGACCAATCTCACTCGGCAGGGACCCGGTCAGCGAAACATTTGTCAAAGAAAGCCAATCCAAGTTTGTAGCCAATGCAATTTCACTGGGAAGGGAACCGTTCATCATGGTATTGGCTATCCACAGGCCAGTTAGCTCTGTTAATAACCCAACCTCACTAGGGACCCGGCCACTAAGAAGGCTCCACTGCTCATGCATGCTTAACTCAGAGCCCAAATGCAAAAATTTCAGGGAAGTCATCAACCAAAGCTCACTGGGAATTGTGCCTGAAAGATACGGGTTCATAAGATGCATTGTCGTCATGCTGGTCAACAGTCCCAGCTCACTGGGAACTGGGCCTGTGACAAGGTTGTTTGCGAGGTTTAGGTTTAACAGACCTGTCATCAAACCAAGTTGCGTAGGTAGAGTACCGGTCATATTTGGACCAATGTTGATGAACTCCATATTTGCCATGCTGTAGAACTCAGATGGGAAGAGGTCAGTGATAGTCATCTGGGCTCCAAAGAATAGCAGCGTTAAATGTGTCAAGGATGTCAAAAGGGAAATCTCCGGTGGAACAGAAGGCAACAAACCATCTAGCTCAAGATTTCCCAAATTGAGAGAAGTCAGTCTTCCTTGGTTGTCACATGGGAGATTTTGGTTTTGAGCTGAAAATTCGTAAAATTTTCCATCCAAGAAGAACCCAAATCCATGGGAAAACCAAAGGCACTCCTCTTCAGTATCATCCATCCATCTGTCCCGAATGGGCTGCCACCAGTTTTCTCCCTCAAAAGCGTAGAAGAATGTAGCCATGGCAAACAACTGCATCTTCCTCCATTCTGGGAGAAATGTAATGTTTTGATGATTTGCTAGCCAATGCCATGCTTTCCACTGAGGGGTATCACTGCTACTGCTAAGGATGCTGGCCAAAGTATGGTTGGGTAGACTGTCCAAAAGCATAGCCAGAACATCTGTGGGGGCAGACGATGGAACTAGAGAAGGTTCCATAGAAAGGTAGATTGTAGGTGTAGCTGTCTCATCCGCAACACTGGATAAATCGTTCCTGCGCGTTCCAGCAACAGTCCCAATAATCACAGCAGCAGCAAGAACAATCAAACAGAGCATGAAGATGAATTTCTGTTGCTGTTTCTTCTGATCTTTCTCTCTCTGCTCTGCAGCTTCCAAATCAACTGGATCGGCATGCATTAAATCGGCAGCAGCCTCTGTATCCTCCATTACTGGGTTGGCCACAGCCAGCTGATTGTTGCTGACAAATATCCTTGGAGCAGCAGATGTGCTGATCTGCTCAGTGCTTGGGATAGGATCCTGACTGTTGGTGGTGGCACCTACAATCCCGAAATCAAGATTAGTGCTTCGCTGTGGGGATGCTCCCATGAATGCATAGTCTCCGGGACAAGCATTCGGTTGGTGGTTTGCTCCTTGACGTACCCTAGTTGGTCCCAAGGGAAGTGGCTCTATTCCTCCTACGGTGACATCCCAAAATGAGACATTCTGTATCCCACCATTATTAGTAGGGACGTTGGTCTGGGTTTTTCTGCTTGGGTGGTTTTCAGCGTTGGATTCAGTTGCTCCCGTGCTGCACTCAAGAGTACTGGTATGGGTGTCCAAACCTTTGAGGTTTTGAGTGGAGGCTTGATTCTCTTCTTCCTGAGCCTTTTCAGGGTTCTGGCCATTTGTTTCTTCCTCTGAGACCTCTTTGGATGGTGGCTTGGCGTCCGTTGTTCCTTCCTCCTTGGATCCAGATTTCGAAAATGTCACTTGTTTGTACTCAGCGACATCACTGTTGTGTTTGCTGGGGTCCTTATTCATGGCCACAGCTGGCTATGATAGTTGCACTGGATTAGTAACACAGGGAGCAAGAGGAAAGTTTTGGCAATACTTTGGTGCAAAAGGATGTTGAGTTGTTGACGATACCTTCGGCAGATTTTGGCTAGCTACTACCTGGTACCGGTAGAGGGATGAAAAAAGTGCATACGTGCATTATTTTCTGGGTGATTGACACCAGGTGAGTTGTTAAATCCTGGAAAATCAAGTGAATTACAGTTGTTAAATCCATTAATGTCTTGAAATTTGTTCTGGAAGCTTCTCAGGAAATCAAATTCCATGACTTAGTTCTTTCGCGATCCTGGGTGTTCGAATACCTATTCGCAAGGTTCCCCACCCCCCACCCCTACCGTTTCCTGTGCCTGTTCCAAAAGCAAGCCCATTGTGTCGTAAATGCTTTGTCTCACATTTTGAAAAGGGGTAGTCAAGTCATGAAATTGTAAAAGTGTTCCGGTGTACTATTAATAGTACCCGGCTTGGAATCGGCAGTCAACAGAGCTCCGCTCCGAGGCAACAAAGAGACCAATTCGAGAGGCTGAAAGCTGAAAGTGGTGCCATTGAAACGACCATCCTTCAATTGGGCACTAGGTGAGCTAATATAAGAAGATTCGATTCATTGGCCCCTCTAGTAGTTGACTGGCTACCAGCCACAGTGGCAATTTTGAAGGTGGCAGAGGCTCTAGAAGACTAAAGAAGGTTACCTTTTTTAAGTAGGGTGTGAGTTGGGTGATAGTTAGGTGTGGGTAGGGGTGTGAGTTGAAAAAACTGCTGCGCCTTTTTCCACCTACTACCCTGCCGGTAGTTATTGTAGTCAGAGTCGAGTCGAGTCAGTCGCTCGCCTCAGTCGGGTTCTCAAGACCATCTTCAGAGAGTGCACATGCTACCACCCCTCGTTTTTATTCTGGAGTCGCTCTAGCTAGCTAGCTTGTAGAAGTCTACTAGCACCATGGTGGTTTGCTAGCTAGTACCGGTATGTAGCTAGAGTACCGGTAGTCCATAGTAAATGGACCGAAGGCACAAATAATATGCTTTGAAACATGCACCGAAGACCCCTTCTTCATCAATTATTGAATGATTAAAATTACGCTAAGACCATGAGGCACAAAAGCTGCTGGGTTTACTTCGACGTGTCCTTTGTCAGGAACTCTGCTTCCAGCCAGTTGGTTGCTACTGGTCCCGGCGGAACAGTACCGGGTACTTGTCAAAACCACAGCGCTGAGCTCCCATTTATTTAGTTTTAGGTTGGCCCTGGGGCTGGTTTGGCGGCAGGTGCTGCTGCTGCTGCTGGTTGTAAAGAAGCTGCTGCGGCAACCACTTTTGGAGCTGCAGCAGTGGGCTTGGATGCTGGTGCCAGTGGATTGGGCACCCCCAGAGTCGACACTGGAGCCGCCGCCACGGGTTGCGGCGGTGGCATGGTAATGGCCGGCTTGACCACCACCGCCGGTGCTGGTGCCGGTGGGGCCTTTTTGACAACTACAGCTGCTGCCGTCGTCGCAGGAGCCGGAGCCTTTTTCTTCTTTTTGGGCACTGCTGGAGTCGTCGTCGCTGGCGCAGCAGCCCCTCCCGCTGCAGTTGTGGAAGCCGACGACAATTTCCGTTTCTTGGACCCCTTTTTCTTGGTTCCCTTTTTCTTGTTGCTACCTTCCGGGGGCACATCTTCTTGTTGTTGTTGCTGTTCCATTCCCACGACATCAATATGCAGATTGCGCAATGCGGCAAAATAAACGGGATCCGAAATCATATCTTGTCGATCCTGTTCATTTAATAGCAGTGTCCGCAAACAATCGCGGACGGGTGCGGCATTGACGTGACGACTGGTCGGTGCCGCCGCAATGGCCTGTTTTTGTTGTCGCCAGACTTCCTGGAGACGCGCCACTCGTTTTTGGGAGGCATCCAATTCGTCCAATGCCTCATCGACTTGTTGGAGTATCGTGTGGGGCATGAGACTGTCCGTTTCGTGTCGTGGAACTCCGTAGCACATGGCGTAACGGACCGGTTGGGGTTGTTGTGGTGTAGTAGTTTTGGTAGCGCTGGTGGTAGCGGTTGTGGAAACTGGCTGTTGTACCATTTGCACCACTCCCGTGGCAACGAGTAGTTCGAGAATATCCTTCAAGACAAATGCCGATGCTTGTTTGGCAGAAAAGGAGGAAGACGAACTTGTGGTCGAAGTTGATGCAGCGGTGGTGGAAGTGGTGTTTGTGGTTGTGGCAGTATTATTGTTGGTCATGGCAACGGCGGACGATTTGGTGAGCGTGACGGGTGGTAGATTGAATTCCAATTGTCGAAATGTCAAGGGGCCGTCTGTCAAAAATGAAAAATGAACGAAGTAGTATACATGTGAGCTTGTGATCGAATCAACAAACAAATACAACTACACAGACACATCACCATAGCATCAAAACAGTCACTTACATGTCTGCAGTAGAGCACACAAATCTTGTACAACTTGTGCAACGACAGCCGAATCAGGTACGAGCCCTAGAACGGCATTTTTGGGCGTCGTGGGTGTACTGGGAGTATTGTTGTTGTTGTGGTTGGGTGTTGTGAGTGCTGCCGCTCGTGCCAATTTGGCATTAATGGCAACAACCGGTTTGGTGGTTGCTGTTGTAATGGCAGTAGTCGTCCCCTTATTAGTGGAAGTGGCTACTTTGACTGGCTGTACTACCGGTGGTACTATGGCTCTGGAAGATGGAGTGGCAACAAGTGCGGCTGGTTGTTGTACTCTGAGTGGTTGTTGTTGAGGTGGTGGTGGTGCTAGTTTGGCTTGTGGTTGTTGTTGCGCAAGTGTGTTGACTACTACGGGGGCGTTTGTTGCAGCTGGTGGTGGTGGTTTGGTTGTAGGTAACACAGCTGGTGGAGGAGTGGGTTGTGGTAGTGGTGTTGGTTGAGGTTTGCCAAGCTGTGTTGGCACTGTTGGTCGTGGTGCTGCTGGTTGTGCCACTTGAGTTGCTTGTGGCTGCTTAACTACTACAGCTGGTTGTTGCTGGACTTGTGGTACTGGCTTTGATTGCGGAATTGGTTTTGACAGTGGAACAGCTGCCGTAGTAGCACTAGTAGCCACTGAAGTCGCAGGTTTGGCTACAGCTGTGGCAGTGGGAGCTGGTGTGCTGCTGGCTACTACTAGTGCCTTGGTGGGTTGTTGCGGAACTGCTGGTGGTGGTGGTGGTGGTTTTGCCACTGAAGTTTGTTGTTGTGATTGAGTAGAGGGTGCTGGTTTGGTAGTGGCTGCTGCTGGCTTAGTGGTACTTGGCTGTGTGGCTGTATTGGGTGCTGCAGTTGCTGCTGTTTGTGGAGTAGCTTGCTTTGATTTCTCCATTTCTTTTGCTGCTGCTTTCTTCATCTCTGCTTTCTCCTTTTCTTGTGTACTTGTAGTAGGAGCTGAAGCCGTCTTCACTGGTTCACTCTTCGTTGTTGTTGCCGTGGTGGTCGCCTTAGGGTTGGCAGCTGCAGCAGCCTTTGGTTTCTCTTCTACTGCTGATTCCTTCTTGTCTTTGACTTGGCTTGGATTTTCCTTTGACACGCTCTTTGCTGTCTTTGTTGTTGCTGTAGTTGCTGCTGTAGTCCCACCTTTCTTGGCTACCGCTTCCTCGTCCACTTCTTCTTCTTCGTCGTCTTCATCACTGCTCTCGTCTGCTGCTGGTTGTGGCGCTTGTGCTAGTACTGTCTGCGGCGGTTGTCCTTCCGAGTCTTCGTCCACGTCTTCTTCGTCCGAACTACTGTCGGGACTGTTCACCGTGCCTGGTGGGTCTCGGGTATTGGATGTACAACCAGGAGGATCGCTGCCCATTGTTGTTCTCCTTACTTGTCTTCTTTAGAGTAGCAGATGTTGTTGTTGTGGCTGTTGTCTGTTGTTGCTGCCGTCGATCGTTGTGTCGGCCATGGTCTTGGTCTTTTTCCTGCCATTTCAGATCCACGGTGAACTGTGCTCCAAGGTGCGCCATCCCACCTCCACGCACGTCGGCATCATCGCTTCACTCACACATCTATCATCAAATCGATCTGTTTGATCGTTGAGCCAAATCCAAATCAACACATCCGAACTGATGCAATCGAAAGGACACTGCTTACTGTATGATCTGATCATCTGATCTAACTATCTAACTAATAACACCATGACAACTAGCCTTCGACGCAACGTACTCTCCAGTTTGACCATTCTGGTCGTTCTAGGGAGTCTGATGCGAGAACGACAAATCACAAACGTCTTTCAAACAAACTACACAGGTGGTGGTCGTGCAAAAAGATCGCTCAGCTCATCATCACACAACCTGTACCAACAACAAGCACAACAAGAAGATGGAGAACACAAGAGTCATGCTAGTAGTAGTAGTAGTGCTCAGACGAAGAAACAACAACGATTACCACCAGAAGACGACATTCACTCCCGTCATGTCACCGTCTTGCCCCTCCAAGAATGGGAGCAAGCGTCGCTCCGTGGACTCTACCAAGCCCAACAAGAACCTTTTGCGAAAGATCAACAACAAATGGCCAACGACTCGTGTCACCCACCCAAGGGGATCCCCAAGGCATGTTGTCTGGGAACATTTGCAGGAATGGGACGCATCATTCACAATCGACGCCATCAGTGCGATCCATCGGCTTTGGAGCAACTTGCTTCTAGTTACGATGCTAGTAATGACAAGAATGAAGAAGAATGCCATGTTTGTGCCTTGTTGGAACAATTGCATCAGACCAATCAAACCATGGCATTTGTCGGAGATTCCATGTCCCATCAAATATTTCAAGGATTGCTCTGCGAATTCTATCGACGCAATTATCAAATCCACGAAACCACCTTTCATTTCCCATTGGCAACTACGAAACAGCAACAACAACGAGGAAGTGCTCGTGGAAAACAACAACCACGAAAAGAGAGTAGTAGTCAAACAACGACCACGACAACAACAGAAGATGGTCATGTCCACGTGTCACTCCCCGAACCCACAAATCGTCGCTGTCACGGAGGCAACAGCATTAACCATTGTCTGCACATGATGCGACGGGTCCAAATATCCTCTCCACTACTCAAGTCAAATGTGACGCTGCAATTCTTTCATCAGTATCGATTGCCCTTTGCCGATCCCCAACAAGAACAAATGGTACTGACGGCGGCCGATATTCTAGTCGTCAACTTTGGACTCCATTGGGGGGCCAATTATAATAATGGGATTCTTGCTACTACGAACATGACAACGACGATGGACAAACGACGCCATCGTCCCAGTCCAAGAAGAACGCAGGAATCCAGAATGTTGACGGCACCCGACAATCCCCCCACGCCCGGGCATTTGCAGAATACTCTGGCGGCGTTTTTGCAAACGGCAAAACAATCGAGTAGTAGAATTTGGATTCGAGAGACATCGATGCAACACTTTGATGCCGATGGAGGCGATTACTCCTTTGTCAAGCACCGCGCTACCAAACGACAACAACGACAAGCACCGACGACTAATGGTACTAGTAGTGTGCGAGTGGAACGATCTCCCGTCCAATGTGTGCCCTATTTTCGGGCCAATACTACGACTACTAGTACTACGGCGGGATGGAGGGAACGAGTCATCCAAGAGGCGGCACATCAAGCCAATTATTCGGTACGACGACTACAAGAAGAAGTAGTAGTGCCCGACAACAACAACCAACGATTCGACAGCGATCACGCGTCAGTGACCATTCTTCCATTTGCCGATTGGACGAAACCGTTGTACGCCCTACATCCCTACGATGATCGAGGAGGTACTGGAGGGGGTGGTGGTGGAGATTGTACTCATTATTGCTCCTCTCCATTTTTGTACCTGCCATTGTGGAAGTCCATGCAATACGCCATGTCTAGTCAGGACGCTGGAGTGTAATTGAATTTTAAAGGTTGATCCTGCCAGGCAGCATTTCATGCTTTCCAGCAATGAGCACCCGAGTGGAGTAGTTTCGTGTAGCTTCGGAAGCAACTGCTTGATGAATGTGCCCACGGGATCCACAATGAATCATTCAATGGCACTGCTCCACCGTACCGTATCTCCCATCTCTTGCAAAAACATACGACCGGACGAAAAGGAGACTCGGCTCGGACCAAGCATTCATTCGGTGATAGCAGCAAAACCCCTGCACCAAAGTGCAATTTCCAAGAAGCAGCAATATTTCAATGGCTGCAGTCAAAGTGGCCCATCCAGTAAATAGTATTTATTCGACCAGCAAAATCATGAGATTCTCCGTACGGTAGAGTTCGAGTGGATTGGAAGCATACCGTAGTTGCTGGTACTCCGAAGGTTGAGTCCGCCAACTGATCCACACAAGTCAATCTCTTTAGGAAACTGTCGCCAGCAATGAACCTGCCTGACTGGCCAATGAAAGCCTATGGTCAGATCGCTGCAAGTGGACACCAGGGTGGAGGGTGGCGTCATAGACCCATTGCGCCAACAGTAAAGCACAAATAGCCTCTGGAAAAATCTTTGTGCATGGTGCCCATTTTAAATCTCAGCTAAATGAATCTTTCAGCTTACTTGGAAGGGTTCCTGTCCGCCGAGACAGCTGCTCCTACCATGGTCTCCATGGAAGCTGCTGCCGAGACTCCTACCAAGGGGGCTACCCAGTCTCCCACGGGGGCCTCCACTGAGGCCGCTACCACGGGAGCTCCAATGATCGTCACGGATGATCCTACCGGAACGACGGTCACCACAGATGCTCCTAAGTAGCCACGGGCACTGCTTCTCCCACTACCAGCGTAATGGATTCGGATGTCTGCGTCATGTCCTGGGATCACAGTTGCAAGGTCTGACATTCCCTGGTCGAGGACGAGAACAGCACCACCATGGCGGAAGTTTGCGTTTACATTGCCATGAGTATGACGTTCCCACGAGGGAGTGGCCGTCACTGATGCCCCTACTGGAACAGTGGTGTCACAGATGCTCCTACGACAAGGCATTGTTCTGAAGGTGGAGCTGTGTCAATCACCAAGAATCCAAAATAATCTCGAACTGCACCTGATAGAAGATCCTTGGAAATACCAAGCACAGATAGGGATGACAACATCCAAAGATCAGCAGGAATTTTGGGATTGGCAAGCTTTGGAAACTTGGACAATTACGGTGCTCCAAAGCAACCATACTTCCATTTTCTGTGGGGGGCGCTTTCAGAGATTTGTTTGCTCCCAAGCTGAATCGAATTTTTCATCAGATCCAATGTGCTTAGAAAGGTCCCTCCCAGGAGTTTACTGTAGTCCAAATCTAACCACAGCAAGCCTTCCGTCAGAATCAACACTTTTAACTTTATCAGTCTGTGGATTGTAGTTGTCAGCAACGCCGCTACTTGAGTTTTGTGTGTCAAACCAGAGAGACTGCGAATATCAGGCCAAAAGAGAAAATGAACATGCTCTTGCAGGACGTTTCTTGAAAAGGAGTGGATTGGGCTCATAGAAACAGATCCCTACGGGGCTGCAAAAACGAATCACATTCCCCAACTGTATTGTTCATCAATACTCTCCATACAAAAAGGATTCCAATTTTCCCTGGGATGAATTGTTGAATGAATGTCCAAGGGCCTGATCTTTCCTGCGGTCAGGAAAACTCGCCACTTTTGGTGGTTTTCTGACCATTGACATGGCTTCCATTCAGATGTGTCACGGCCATTGTTGATGCAACCAAGGTGCGATTTGGTAGAGACTAGTATCCAACAGTAACTGCAGAACTGGAGTGGAGGGAAAGCCACTCATTTATGTCTCCGTGGATCCCGCAAAGCCAAGACCTTTGGCCCCCATGTTGGTCCTCAATTTATCTCCCTGATCCCACGGAATCAAGTCCTGAGTTCCCGACTCTTCTTTGCCATTAGAAGCCTGGCCCTCGCTGGCTTCATCCTCTGAAAACCCCTTTCATGGTGCTCAGAGAAATTCAATAGAAGCCATAAAACCAAAACATGACAATCTCCTCCATTTCCATAAAGGTATCACTGGGAGAAATCATGGGCATTGGTGTAGCAGGAACCCTCCGTTCTGGTACTTTATCCTTCACTGCTTCATCCTTTTTGCACTCGAATCTTTTGTGGCTTTCTTTTTATTTTGTGACCTCGTGGGAGTTGTGAAGCAAGGATCTTTAGAACCCGGCCAATGACCCGAAACACGTGAGTAACCGACTGGATCATTCTGTGACTGCTTCTACAGGATCTTTTGTTCCAGCTTCTTACGGATACTAACTGAGCGACGCGGCAAGGCCTGACTATACAAATAATGTTTAAGCCATTCAATCCTGAGTTCTCCTCAGATGACCACCTTCTGAGTTGAAGATAAAATGACCACATGAATAATTATTCTCAAGAAAAGCAAGATGGCTTTTGTGTCTTGTGGCCTCGTCTCCAATCACAATATTATTATTACTAAAAACCACAAAAGCTCCCGTAGCTAAGTTACCACCGACGATTGCTTTTTCAATTCCCTGTGCAACTCTTACTATTCGAAGTATCTCAATGCTGCGAAGCTTCTGCCTGGTGCCGGTGGCATGGACTCGACTTCAGGAAGCCAGATAGATACTAGCTGTCTACTAGCTCTGACTGAAGCTCTAGCTAGCTGGCTGGTAGTTCTGTGCTCTGTGATAAGTAGCTTCACCTTTGCTGCTTCGGTACAAAAGGGACAAGGCACTTGTGGATCTCTCTGAACTCTCAACGCTTCACGGTCTCCAACCTGCAACCCACGCACCCACGCTCCTTTGTTGGTTTTCGCTTGTTACCTTGTTGACGTTAGCTACCGTAGCTAGTCAGCTAAAGCATAAAAGGAGGTCTTGAAGATCAATAAGTAAATTAGTTGAAGTGGAGTGACATTTCGAATTTAGATTCGTGTTCTTGATAGATCCTGCACGCAACAATGGACATCACCTCTACTCGCTGCTGGTCAAGTACCAAAGCGTCTCGTAGATCTGTACGTATACCTCGCAATCGAGATTGGGGGCTAGGTGAACCCTAATTCCACGCGATGAAAGGGAAAAGCCTTCTATCTTTTTTAGTATAAGCGATAGTACAAATAGCAATCACGGGTCGTAAGAATGACTCAATCGTATGTCCGACGAACAAGTCTTGTTCCAAATTTAATTAATCACTGGCTGCTATTGGTCATTTATGTCGATCTTGCTTGGTTGTTGGCGCTGGTACAATGCTACGACTAAGAAGCTGATTAGGAGCGACCTTTATGAACCTGCTGGATGTGTAGGACCACCTGTACACCATCGGAGAGGTCAAGACCCAAACAATCTTGCTTGGACACAGCTTGCGAGGAAAGCATTACAGCTTACGTGGAAGCACCTAAGTCTCCTACGAAGATGCCCCGTCGAGCATGCATGGCAGGCTCAAGATTGGGCCAAATGACCGCAAGACAGACAAGGAAGACAGCAGGGCTGGGCGAAGGCCTTCAAGATTGCGGGAAATAATTTGGAAGTATCTTCCGAAAAGGGGATGGGGAAGGGAAGGGGCGGTTGGTCGCGGTTGGTCGCGGTGGCTCGCTGGACCAGATGCCAAGTGAAACGCAATGGCGTACTTGCTAGTTGCCACACCCCGCCAACCTGGGATGCTGCTGAATCGAATCGTTTTATCTGCTGATTCTTTAGGATCATGGAGGCTCAGATGGATTGGCAGGATAGATCTTTAGTTAGATCTAGGTTGCTGAGATGGTACTTGAGTCCATTGTAATGGTAGACCCAAGCTTCCTGGACCTCCTCCATTTTACCCCCCTGAGATCTTCCAACCCTTTCTCATTCTTTAAAATCTATTATGGGTATCTATGTCCTTATCCAAGGCCTGATCACATGAAACACTTGATCTAATCTCGGATGACGAGCTGAAAGATATCAGTCTAGTTGTCATTTTTATTGAAAAGGATCTTAAAAGATTAGACAGTGTTATTTTAAAAGCTCAGAGCAAGCTAACCTGTTCAATAGAACTTGGGATAAGGTACCAGGTAGGGTGTCTTTTGGGGGTATCATCGTCTATGGGCCCTGCCATTCAGACAGCACCAACTCAACTCAACTCAACTCGGGACGTGCAAGCTATTATCAGTTCCAAGCGCTCTGGGTCTAGCTACCTATAAGTGCCGGTAGCATTGGCCGACAGCTGCGAAATTCTTTGATTCTAATTTGGGGGTAGGGTATCTGGGGGTATATTGCCCATTAACAAATTTTATACTAAATAACATTAATTTCCCGCCAAGAGATCTTTAGATCGCCCGCGCTTTCTGCGCGAAGAGACTACTACCGATGAGAAAGATCCGGGTTGGTAGGTATATGTGGGTATCTTGGGTATAACAAGGCAAGTTAGGTAGCAAGTAGTAAGTGTGAGAAGCCCAAGGTAAGTGAAGAAAAAGTGGCAGCAACCAAGCAAAGGGAAGCAACTTGGAGAGCTCACTGTTTGCAATTCAAGCAACGAATTGAATAGCACTTCGGTCCTTTCTAACGAAGCGACTACTAGAGGATATCTAAGCTCCACCGCTCAGCTCCCCAAGTCTAACGACTACTAGTAAACAAGAAGACAACCCTTCTGTCGCATCTATACCCCAATACTATCTATCTAATATACCTGATACGAAAAGAGAAAGAAACAACAAACAAAAAACCAACAACCAACAAACACCATGATTCTCATCAAGCGCTTGACGGTTGTCTCCCTATTCTTGGGAACCCTTCTGGCCTCAGTGGTAGCACAAGACAACGTTGTGAAAGCTCAAGGCCAAGTACAAAGAACCAAGGGAATCTTTACAGCTCCCACTCCTGGGACCCCGACTACGCCTGTCCCACCACCTTCGGACGAACCCTCGGGAACCCCCTCTGATAGTCCATCTGATTCCCCATCTGAAGCTCCTTCCGCCGAGACAGCTGCTCCTACCGTGGTCTCCACAGATGCTGCTACCGGAACTCCTACCAAGGGGGCTACCCAAGCTCCCACGGGATCGTCCACTGAGGCCGCTACCACGGGAGCTCCTACCGAGGGAGTGCCCGCCACAGATGCCCCAGTGGCCGTCACGGATTCTCCCACTGGAACAACTGTAGTGACTACTGATGCTCCTACTGGAGCCACGGGCACGGCTTCTCCCACTGTCTCGACGGATGATTTGGATGTCTGTGTCATGTCCTGGGATCACAGTGGCAAGGTCTGCCATTCCCTGATCGAGGACGAGAACAGCACCACTGTAGCGGAAGTATGTGTCTATATTGCCCATGAGTATGATGTTCCCAAGTTGCAAGTGACCTTCAAGGCGGTTGGAAGTTGGAAATTGGTGCGCAACAAGTTTTGGTTGGGCACATCCATTCAGGATGTGCCTCTCAAAGATGCTGACGCCAATGGCACTATTGCGATCGATTTGGAAGCCTTTTCCGTCTTTGCCTGTAATTCCACTGGCGTTGAAGTCTGGACTTATCCCGTTGATATCGATTGGTCGATCTGTACGGATGCCACCAAAATGCAGTATGTGTTGGTGGCATTTGCCGAAGCCGAAACGACAGATGCCAATGGCGATGTGGTCCCCGAGTCTGCCGTGACTGCCTACGCCGTCCAACATCCCATTGCCAATTTGGGATACTTCGATTTTGACATTGCCTGTGACTGTAGTAAAGAGCCGGAAGATGTCTGTATTGCTACCATGGATCATTCGGGAAAACTCTGTCATACACTCAACGGTGAAGAAGGCGTGGACAGTAACGTTACCGAAGCCGTCGCGCAAGTCTGTGTCGAGGTCGTCTACAATGAGGTCACCGCCAAGCGTCAATTGCAAGTGACTTTTGATGCCTTGGGTGAATGGAAGCTCGTGACCAACAAGTTCTGGTTTGGAGAAGACGTCAGTGGCGTACCCAAACTAGGAGACGGTTCGACCGATCTCGAAGCATTCGAATACTTTATCTGCAATTCCACCGGTATCGAGACCTGGACCTACTCCGTGAATCTTGATTTGCCCGCTTGTGCTAGCAATGGTATGGGTGCCGTCGAGTTTTCCATGATTGCCTTTACCGAAGTCGAGTTGACCGATGATGAAGGATTGGCCATTCGCAGTACCGCCTTTCGCGCATTCGCCTACGAACACAGTTTGGGATACGGTGACAACTGGATGGGATGGTTCGACTTTAAGATTGAGTGCGAATGCGGTGAAAAACCCGATCCTCGCAATTACTGTCCCGACGATACTCCCGAACTCTACGTCAAGTCCACCAGTCCTCGTGAATGTCACGCCATTGTTGCCGGGGGAGACATGCAGTCCATGCAAGCCGGAGAAGTCTGTGTCGAAATTGATCACGAGGATGGTATGCTCGAAGTCACGTTCGAGGCCGGCACGAACTGGGCGCTATTGCGATCCCAATTGTGGGTCGGATTCGATACCGACGCCGAAAGTGCCTGGGATTCCATGCCCCACAAGAAATCGGGAGCACCCGATACCAAGAAATTCAAGGACTTTGCCTGTGACTGGAAGGGAGAAAAGACCGTGTCCTTCAAGATCAACCTCGATGTCGAGTGTGTCAGTGATGACGAGATTCGAGTCTATGTCGTCGCACATTCCAAAGTGGAACAAGTCGATGAATACGGTGCTCTCATCCCTGGATCGGATGTGGACGTCTTTGCCTTTGAACACACGGGCGACAGCGAGAAGTGGTATGGATGGTTCGATTTCATGATTGGTTGCCGTTGCCCAACTACAACCACTCCGGCTCCGTCGTCCCTTCCATCTCCCACTGACGCACCAACCAGTGCTCCTACTGAAGGTAGCAAGTGCGAGGAGGAGATGTCTCCCGAAGATGTGGAAGAAATCTGTTACGACATGACAGCACCCGAGGCCTGGGAACCAGAAGCCGGTACGGTGTGTATTTCCATCACCAACGCAACCATGGACGTCACCTACCGTTCTACCAATTATTGGGCCATCTTTGAATCCCATGTTTGGTGGGGTGATAACATTGCGGATGTCCCCATGACTGACGGAACCAACGAGTTTGAATTGTACTCATTCCAAAACGTCAACGATGATCTGGAGGGTGAAACAAATTACACTGTTCAACTGCAAATCAGTGATTTGGCCTGTGATGCCAATGACGAATACAGAATGGTGATTGTTGCACAAGCACTCGTTGGCGAACCCTGCATTCCTCCGAATGGCACCGCCATCTTGGGAACGGACCGCAATGCGTACGGTGGTGACCAAGAAATTGCAAACCCAGATTTCCCCTACTACTACATTGAAATGCCGATCGACTGCATCTGTGGCCCAGGTCGCACAAGAGGTGAAATCCCACCTGTGACAGGCTCTCCTGTGGCTGATCCGACAGGCTCTCCGACTGCCAGCCCTACCGGAACGCCATTGGCCGACCCAACAGCCGCCCCTACGGCAAGTCCTACAGGAACACCCACTGGTTCCCCTGTTAGTGACTGTGTTGCCAGACCCCCTTCTGGAGTCTCCTTTGGACCATACAGTGGCAATCCCCAGTGTTATCAGACGGGAAGTGATACGCCTTTTGGATTTGATTATGGATGGAAGATGGATGGTTGCTCCTCAGGTACCTACACCCTCAATAGTGATGGAGAGATGACTGGGTCGTGTGAAATTGCTGGCATGATCACCCTCAATGTTGAGTGTAATGATGACAAGTCTGCCACTATTTCTTGGAGTGGCGAGGGAGATTCCTACATTGCCATCAAGGTGAAGGGTTCAGATGGTGGAACTCTCTATGATTCCAGTACGAACGGAGGCAACTATATTGCTGGTACTAATAATGGCGGCCAAACTGCCGACATCAGCCACATTGAGGTCTGTCTCAACTGCGTTGGTTCAGAGTGTTATCCCACAGGCACCCCAACTGGAACCCCCACAGGCTCACCCACCAGCGGCCCAACAGCATCTCCGACAGGTACACCCACCGGCGGACCAACAGGAGGCCCCACAGGTCACCCACTGGGGACCAACCACATCTCCCACAGGTTCACCCACCGGCGGACCAACTGGAACCCCCACTGCCTCACCCACCGGCGGACCAACAGCATCTCCGACAGGTTCACTACCGGAGGACCACAGCGTCACCCACTGGCGGACCAACAGGGAGCCCCACAGGTTCACCCACTGGTGGACCAACCGCATCTCCCACAGGTCACCCACCGGCGGACCAACTGGAACCCCCACTGCCTCACCCACCGGTGGACCAACAGCATCTCCGACAGGTTCACCTACCGGAGGACCAACAGGAACCCCACCGCGCAACCTGGCGACCAACAGGAAGCCCCACAGGTTCACCCACTGGTGGCAACGCATCTCCCACAGGTTCACCCACTGGGGGACCAACAGGAAGCCCCACAGGCTCACCCACCGGCACACCAACAGCATCTCCCACAGGCTCACCCACCGGTGGACCAACAGGAAGCCCCACAGGTTCACCACCGGACACCAACAGCATCTCCCACAGGTTTCACCCACTGGTGCTCCCACACCATCGCCCACTGGAGGACCGACCGCATCTCCCACAGGTTCACCCACCGGCGGACCAACTGGAACCCCCACTGCCTCACCCACCGGCGGACCAACAGCATCTCCGACAGGTTCCCCTACCGGAGGACCAACAGGAACCCCACCGCGTCACCCACTGGCGGACCAACTGGAAGCCCCACAGGTTCCCCCACTGGTGGACCAACGGCATCTCCCACAGGTTCACCCACTGGGGGACCAACAGGAAGCCCCACAGGCTCACCCACCGGACCAACGCACACAGCACCCACCGGCACACCACAGCACTCTCCCACAGGCTCACCCACCGGTGGACCAACAGGAAGCCCCACAGGTTCACCCACCGGCACACCAACGGCATCTCCCACAGGTTCACCCACCGGTGCACCCACACCATCGCCCACAGGAGGACCGACCGCATCCCCACAGGTTCACCCACGGGGACCAACGCATCTCCCACAGGTTCACCCACTGGCGGACCAACAGGAAGCCCCACAGGCTCCCCCACTGGAGGACCAACGCATCCCCACAGGTACACCCACGGGAGGGGACCAACAGCGTCACCGAATCCGCATCACCACCGGCGGACCAACCGCATCTCCCACAGGCGCACCCACCGGCGGACCTACTGGAACACCAACAGCTTCACCCACTGGCTCTCCTACTGGCACACCCACGGGAAGCCCAACTAAGACTCCCACAGCCAGCCCAACAAAGACTCCCACAACCAGCCCAAGCAGTTCACCCACCGAAAGTCCTTACCCCAGTGGTTTACCCAGTACAACACCAACCGAGAGTCAAGAGCCCAGTGCATTGCCAACTGGTGGACCCACACCGTCACCTACTGGCAGTCCAACAGGAACACCAACTGGCGGACCCACAAAGTCACCTACTGGCAGTCCAACAGGAACACCAACCGGCACTCCAACTGGTGGACCCACAGAGTCACCTACTGGAAGCCCCACAGAAGCACCAAGTGAAGCACCAAGCGATGCACCAAGTGATGCTCCTAGTGAGGCACCCAGCGAGTCACCAAGTCAGGCACCAAGCACAGAGCCAAGCTCTGCTCCAAGCCAATCACCGAGTAAGTCTCCAACAGGTGGGCCTACTGGGACTCCTACCATGAGCCCCAGCTCTGGCCCCAGCACCAGTCCAAGCAGCTCCCCATCTGCATCACCCAGTGACGGTCCAAGTGCTTCCCCAAGTGGAAGCCCGAGTTCAAGCCCAAGCTCTTCTCCCAGTGTTTCTCCCAGTGGCTCACCAACAGGAGAACCAACTCCATCACCTAGCTCTTCTCCAAGTGCTTCTCCAAGCATGTCACCGAGTGCAAGCCCAAGTGCTGGCCCAGTGCCTCTCCTAGTGCAAGTCCAAGTGGTTCCCCCAGTGGATCACCAAGTGTCAGCCTAGTGAATCTCCCAGTGGCTCCCCAAGTGACTCCCCCAGTAACCCACCCACAGGAGAACCAACTCCTGCACCAAGCTCAAGCCCAGTGTCTCACCAAGCTCAAGCCCAAGTGGAAGTCCAAGCGCAGCACCAAGTTCCTCCCCTAGCACTGCACCCAGCAGCAGCCCTAGCAGTTCTCCAAGTGTCGGCCCCAGTGGATCGCCAAGTGGTTCCCCAAGCAGCAGCCCCAGCAGCACACCCACAGGAGATCCTACTCCACCCCCCAGCTCTAGCCCAAGTGGATCACCCAGTGCTTCGCCAAGCTCTGGCCCAAGTGGATCACCCAGTGCTTCACCAAGCTCTAGCCCAAGTGGATCACCCAGCCGCAGTCCAAGTGTGAGCCCCAGTGGATCTCCCAGTGGTGCCCCAAGTGCTTCCCCAAGCAACCCACCAACTGGGGAACCCACCCCTTCTCCCAGCAGCAGTCCAAGTGGCTCTCCAAGTGGATCACCCAGCGAAGCCCCTAGTGAGGCCCCTAGTGATGCGCCCAGTGAAGCACCAAGTGAATCACCAAGTGACACCCCAACCATTGAACCAAGTCTGGGACCAACTGCTTCACCAAGTGTGGAGCCCAGTCTTGGACCAACTTCTTCGCCTTCCATCTCTCCCAGTGCACAACCATCCGTCAGTCCATCATTTGGCCCCACCGGAAGTCCATCTGCCTTCCCTACCACAAGTGACTACACCTGTGAAGATTCCTGGGCTGTTGACGTGACGATTACCCCCGTTTGCCTTGAAGAAATTGGGTATGGCCGTTTGGATGGTCAATGGAAAGTATGGAACTTCTGAGTGCTACAAATGTGGCTGTGGTGGTGACATGACTGTGGGTGACTCGGCCCCGTCACCGTCCGTTGTGGACTGTGCTGGCTTACCCGATTTTACTGAGTCTATTCATGACCTTCCAGCAGAGTCTTTTGATGGCAACCCCAACTGTCAAGATTTGGGCTATGACTTTGGCTGGAAGATGGAAGGTTGCTCTGGTGGCTCCTATGAGTATGACAGCTGACTAAAACGAAGGGAAGCTGTGACATTAGTGAAACGGATGTTGGATCCTTTGATTTGATGTGTTCAACTCCTGATGATGGTCAATTCATTGATGCAGTTATCACTCCCAGTGTTGACTCAGTTGTCATAATGAAGGGAGGAATGGAGGTGTAATCTATGATGGACTGAAGGCCGGATCAACATACACTTTGGATGTTGGTGCACGCAAGGGAATCAGCCACATGGAGTTCTGCTTCCGCTGTGATGGCCATGCCAAAAGTCGGAACCTCAACCAACTGAGGCCACCGACATGGCTGGTTGCAACAAGTGCATTGCTGGATCTGATGACAGCTCTACTGATGTTGCGTTGAGTCCTGTTTCCATGGATCTCTACATGGGCTCCAATGAAGGTTGTGGACCCAAGGGAGAGAAGACAGGAACTGTTTATGTGAATCCAAGTTCAGATGGCAAGACAGTGACAGTGACATACCAGACTGTTGGTGACTTTGTCATTCAACAGACTCAGCTGTACATTGGAGGAGAGGAGGTTCCTCTTGTTCAACCTGCTGACTTTGATTACTCTCATGAAGAAGGCTCCCTCTCCCCCACCACAACCACCAAGAGTTATGTGGTTGAATTGAAGTCTTGTGATTTCTACATTGCAGCAGTTGCCAAGATCTGTGGTGAATTTGACACATTTGCACCAACTGGAAGTCCATCCATTTCTCCTAGTGAGAGCCCCAGTGACTCACCAAGTGAATCTCCAAGTGCCAGCCCCTCGGCCAGCCCAAGTGCAAGCCCCAGTTCTTCTCCCAGTGCCTCACCCAGTGGTTCACCAACAGGAGAACCAACTCCATCACCTAGCTCAACTCCAAGTGCTTCTCCAAGCACGTCACCAAGTGGTAGCCCTAGTGCTGGTCCCAGTGCTTCCCCCAGTGCAAGCCCAAGTGCTGGGCCCAGTGGCTCTCCTAGTTCAAGTCCAAGTAGTTCCCCCAGTGGATCGCCAAGTGTCAGCCCTAGTGAATCTCCCAGTGGTTCCCCAAGTGACTCCCCTAGTAACCCACCCACAGGAGAACCAACTCCCGCACCGAGCTCAAGCCCTAGTGCCTCCCCAAGCTCAAGCCCGAGTGGAAGTCCAAGTGCCTCACCAAGTTCCTCCCCTAGTGGAAGCCCAAGTGCATCACCAAGTTCTTCCCCGAGTGTCAGCCCAAGCACCTTGCCCAGTAGCAGCCCCAGCAGCAGCCCCAGCAGTTCTCCAAGTGCTGGCCCCAGTGAATCACCAAGTAGTTCGCCAAGCAGCAGCCCCAGTGCATCTCCTAGTGGTTCACCAAGTGATTCCCCCAGCAGCACACCTACAGGAGAGCCAACTCCATCACCCAGCTCTAGCCCAAGTGGATCACCCAGTGCTTCGCCCAGCTCTAGCCCAAGTGGATCACCCAGTGCTTCGCCAAGCTCTGGCCCAAGTGGATCACCCAGCAGCAGTCCAAGTGTGAGCCCCAGTGGATCCCCCAGCGGTGCCCCTAGTGATTCTCCAAGCAACCCACCAACTGGGGAACCCACCGCTTCTCCCAGCAGCAGTCCAAGTGGATCCCCCAGTGGAAGGCCAAGTGTCAGTCCAAGTGAAGCACCAAGTGAGACCCCCAGTGGCTCGCCAAGTGAATCACCAAGTTTGGCACCAAGTGATAGCCCAAGCATGGAACCAAGTCTGGGACCAACTGCTGCACCAAGCTTGGGACCAACTGCTTCACCAAGTGTGGAGCCCAGTCTTGGACCAACTTCTTCGCCTTCCATCTCTCCCAGTGCACAACCATCCGTCAGTCCATCATTTGGCCCCACCGGAAGTCCATCTGCCTTCCCTACCACAAGCGATTACACCTGTGAAGAT